GGCTAGCACTAATGACGTCATACTTTCCTTCTGAAGCAAAATATAGAAAAAATACATTTTTAAGCTCATAAAAGGCATTTTAATAGCCAATTATATTAGAGTTGAAAATTTTCAATTTATTCAAAAAATAAAATTTATTGACTCAAAAATCTTAACTAAACAATTTAACGTGAAAGGAACTATACACAATAGATTTATAAATGCAGTACATTGGAAGAATCGAAGAGTGACTTGGAAAATAAGAATTTATTACATTCTAAAAATTTGTAACCCTAACTAAAAATCAGTTTTTAATAATCATCGCATATACAAAATATGAGAATGAGGGCTATCGTTTTTATACTTAACAGTTGGCACCCCTGGCGATTGACAGGACCTTACTCTACAGTGGCGCCATCTTGATGAGTGCAAATGCGATAGTCCTCCTACCACTTTAGCGCTCACCAAAGAAAGAAAGAAAGATACATTTATTACAATGGACATCACACAAATACAGGCAATTACATAGACATGACAGTGGCACATAATAATACAAGAAGAAAAAATAAAAACAAGAGTAAACTGAGCAGTGCCACCCACTCACCAACAAGATGCCCACTGCAACGGGACCCCACTCAGCATATGCCGTGGCCCACGGTGACGAAGGCCACGGCGCTGGTTTTCAGTGTGCCCCATGCCGAGTGAGGGTCACGGACCATTGGTAAAATAAATAAAATAGTAAGCTGCATAAAATTGTCTAGATAAACATACATAAATAGTAATATTAGTGCACAGATAAATACAAAAGGCGGGAAATCGGTAAGGATGATAAGACTACGTTTATAAAGAATACTAATAAAAAGATAAAACTGTTTGCACCAGTTGGTGCCACTGTCTTCGCTACTAGCAAGTGACAGGACCTTACTCTACAGTGGCGCTAACTGGTGAGCGCTAAAACGATAGCCCTCATTATGCCTGTTTTACCATTAATACCTAAATAATAATAAACATGTTGACGTTTTCTTAAAGCGTGCGGTATGAGTGCTCCTATTNTCAAAACGCAACAATTAACCTAGAAATTAGCACGGCACTAAAGAAATTTATTCAAAACTGCCACGCGGTCTCGTGCTAGATGGGCGTCTTAAAGGCCACCTTCTATCAACGGGAGCGCGTGGTAAGTAACTTGCTTCTGAATGTATGTAACTTCCTACTTTTTTATTTTTAAACCGGCAGACAGTGGTGACTGAGTTTGTTGCGGCGCTTCTTCTCAGCACTTGCCAAATGTTTGTCTCGAAGCGCTGGTAGGGCAAAAAAAGAATGAGACATGTATAGGCTCCTTAAGAGCATTTGACGATTTGCAAGAACTAATTTAATTAGTCTAAACAAATAAAGATAATTTTGATTTTGATTTTTGATTTTGAACAAACACAGAAATATAATACTATAGGAGCAACATGTAAACTATAAATTACTGTATTTTATTGAAAAAAAGGCTGACAAAGTTGACTGAGTTTCTTCCGTCACTTCTCAGCACCAACCCATATGTTGTCCCAAAGTGGTGGTAGGACAAGCTATATTTGGGACGTGTATAAGTGCCCTGGAAAGGTCCTATATGTACTGAAAAAAATAATTGAATTTGAATTTATTTTAAATTTGAATTTGGAGTAGCTCTATAGGATTAGAAATTAATAAAAGCTTTCTTGTTGCCCTGCGACTTGTATATGTATAGAATTCATTTCAAATAATAAATAAATGTACCAACTGAATACTACTACTAACAGCAAACATTACATTGTATTTGTAAATACCTACTTACCTCTTCTTGATTTCTTTTGGTTCAAGTACAGTCATCTCTAAAACATACTCAACTATTTTAACGATATTATGATTATGCTACCATCACTCGTATTGTCAATATAGACTACTAATTAATCATTTTGAGAGCTAGCAGAGACATACATAGAGTGGAATTTCCGTATTCTACTCCTAATGCCAAATCCCAAATCGGATAAATCGTCCAAGCCAAATTTTGTTATCTGGAACATTTTATGCGCTTCTTCCTCGTTGCAACTTGAATGTGATGAACACCTAGAGATTACAAAATCTTTGAATGTAGTTTTCTTTCTTTTCAAAAAATAAAGAAATGTTTTTTGAGTATAATTTTCTGTCTACAGCATTAAGAGTATTTTCCCTTCAGGTGGCATTTCAAAAATCCACCCTGTATACCAACATCTATACTAATATTGTAAATGCGAAAGTAACTCTGTCTGTCTGTCTGTCTCTCTTTTACGCCTAAACCACTGAACTGATTTTGATGAAATTTAGCATAGAGATAGTTTGAGTCCCGGGAAAAGAGATGGGATAGTTATTATCCCGGTTTTTGAAACAGGGACGCACGTGATAAAGTTTTTCTGTGACAGACAAAATTCCACGCGGGCGAAGCCGCGGGCGGAAAGCTAGTAATAAAATAAAGCATTAAGTCAAATAGTACGAGTACATTTCAAGAGCCAACTGTACAGTACAGTACGTAGGAAATGTCCGTACATTCCGTTCCGTCTCGACGCCGCGCAGCGGGCATGTACAATATGTACTGTCGTCGGCGGACGGATGTCTGGGAAATGTTTGGACGGGCTAAGATGGCGCTGGGGGTCTTTATTCATCTATTTATTTAGATACAACTTATCTTAACTAATGATAATTTACATAAAGTCCTGCAATCTGCCCTTGACGACAATCTATGTACTGTAACTACCTGGCGATCTGTACACAGGTGATTACATCAGGTGAGTATGATAAGTACTGCTGGCCCTTTAGAAAGAAAGAAAGAAAGAAAGAAAGAAAGATACATTTATTACAGTGGACATCACACAAATACAGGCAATTACATAGACATGACAGTGGCACATAATAATAAAAGAAGAAAAAATAAAAACAAGAGTAAACTGAGCAGTGCCACCCATTCACCAACCAGATGCCCACTGCAACGGGACCCCACTCAGCATATGCCGTGGCCCACGGTGACGAAGGCCACGGCGCTGGTTTTCAGTGTGCCCCATGCCGAGTGAGGGTCACGGACCATTGGTAAAATAAAATAAAAAATAAAAAAAATAAAAAAGCTGCACAAAATTGTCTAGATAAACATACATAAATAGTAATATTAGTGCACAGATAAATACAAAAGGCGGGAAATCGGTAAGGATGATAAGACTACGTTTATAAAGAATACTAATAAAAAGATAAAACTGTTTGCACCAGTTGGTGCCACTGTCTTCGCTACTAGCAAGTGACAGGACCTTACTCTACAGTGGCGCTAACTGGTGAGCGCTAAAACGATAGCCCTCATTATGCCTGTTTTACCATTAATACCTAAATAATAATAAACATGTTGACGTTTTCTTAAAGCGTGCGGTATGAGTGCTCCTATTTATTGGCCATAACATTTTTATCTTAGGTTTAACAAATTTTTAAACTTCATCGCAATGTTTTAACATATTTTAAGTAAAACTTCCTCGATTTTTGTTAAGATTGAAGCAAGGATCACTCAATCCACATGCACATAATTTTTAAGTGCTCCGTCGATCGACTTGGCTAAGAAAGCACACATAACGTAAGCTCATGGTAAGCACACTACTATGAGCTTTTTTTATTAATTCATGTAAAAATACAACAATAATTCGAATTGTTTACTTTGTTTCTACTAAACTAAATTTTATTTTAGAGAATATTCCTGCTTAAGTCTACCTTGAGATTTATTTGAGATACACTGTCCAGTTTGGCTTTTAAGCCTTTAACGGGCATAACAAGTCCTTCATTTTTGGACCTTAAGCTAAGGAAATAAAGTTCAAAATATGGTGGGATCTATATTCCCACTATAAAGGGTTAATAAAACTTGAATTTTAGAACCTGGATTACGATCAGATTATTATTACTGATGGGCCGACTATGGTCTTTGCCGACTTACCGACTAGCCGACTAATCGGTTTTCAAATTGCCGATTAGTCGGCCGACTAATCGGCAATGCCGATCATTCTAATACCTACTTGTCCGAAGAATAATATCTAGATTTTCTCGAAGAAATATGAGTATCTAGGTTTCTAAAGAGATAAATATAACTTCTTGAGAAATGAGATTTCTTTAATTATGAGAAAAAATAAAAAGCAACACACAATCACCTAACAGTACCTACCTAAGGTAGATGTCATAATTTTCGTCGGCGGAGGGGTCAGAGGAGGTGACAGTATGATCGCCTCCTGCTGGGCTAGGATGCGCGCCGTGATATTATTCTTAAGTATCGACGTCAAAATGAATGGGCAAATTGCGCTTATCGCGGCACACATCCTAGGCCCACTGATTCCTCTCCATCCTCCACGGTGATGGTCAGAAGCTGGGGGCGTGGGGGTACACCCGCCTACATAGCACGGACTACCACCACCGTCGGATAGGCAGGGCCCGCCAATTGCTGGCACAGACTGTGATAGGTGAGGGCTTGTCCGGAATCCGGATTCCCATAGTTCTTCATACTAAGGCGATCGACGGAGCTCAGGGGTTATTTATGTGGGTATTCCTCATCCTTCCGATGAGAGGAGCCCCACATAATCTACCACTTCCCCGCGGGATATCATTTTTTCCCCGAAAAAAAGTGTCATAATTTTTATATGGATAAATTACATAAACTTTACACATTTTTGACGATTTCCTGGTAATTTTAACTAATCTTAACTTTGTATGAATTTAGACTGATTGCCAAAATTTTAAATCAGGTAAAACCACTTTTAACTGATTTTTTGCAGTCAAAAATGATTTAGATAAACGCCCTTGGTCTAAATCATAATCATCTTGGTAATTATGAGTTTTATTTCATTCACATTTATATTTGTAATGCGCCGATTATAATCGGCAGATTTTGCCGAATAGTCGTCACTACTCGGCCGACTACAAATGATGCCGAATAGTCGGCTTTCCCGACTAGTCGGCGACTAGTCGGCCCATCTCTAATTATTATAAGTATTGATTAGTTATTTATTAAATAATATTCAAGTATATATCTCAAAGTAGACTCGCAACAATTTCATGAGACTTAAAATTAAAATAAATATTTACAAATTAGTTTAAATAAATATCAGTCTCGAGTTCGGAGGCCCCAAATCGACGTTCTTCTGGTGCCGACTGTGGGTCGGGCGATGGCGCTGGAATCAAAAATTAATATTTTAGCATCGACATAAATACAGGTCGTCGGTCCACCTTGTGAGTGGATCTCACGCTGTTTTCCTATACGCGGCCTCCACTCCAGAACCTTGCTGCCCCATCGGCCGTCAGTTCTGCGTACTATGTGCCCTGCCCATTGCCACTTCAGCTTGCTAATCCGTCGGGCTATGTCAGCGACTTTAGTTCGTTTACGGATCTCTTCATTTCTGATTCGATCTCGTAAAGAAGCACCGAGCATAGGAAGGCTGGATGCAGGCAAGCCAACCGGTCGTTGTGGAAATCCTTGGGGGAGGCCTTTGTCCAGCAGTGGACGTCATTTGGCTGACAAAGGTGACTGAGTTTCTTCCGCCACTTCTTCTCAGCACCAGCCCATATGTTGTCCCGAAGTGGTGGTAGGGCAAGCTATATTTGGGACGTGTATAAGTGCCCTGGAAAGGGCTGTACTGAATAAACTATTTGAATTTGAAATGGACGAAGCTTAAGCTGTTTGTTCCTAGGGTTGCATGATTTAAATCACGATTTTTATTGCTTGATTTTTTAAATAAAAATCACTGTTTTAAATCAATGACTGAAAATTGAATAAATGAAAGGCTGGGAGTTTATATTAATGTTCGAAAACCATGTTAATACTAGGTGGTTTTGTATGGAGAATCTGAAAAAAATATTTTTTCCATACAAACATATTTGCGATTTTTTAGAAAACCACATAATTTATTTTTTTGGCGGTATTGCCAACTCAATTATACATCAATTGTATGTAAATAAAAATGTTTTCCGTAAGATAAACTAAAGAAATGATCGCAAAACCTAATAAAAATCAAAAAAATCTAATTAATAAAAAAGTCGTGATTTTTTTTTAAATAAATCTGATTTCTTCGATTAAAATAAAAAATCATGATTTTTCCACCCTGTATTTACCTGAACATGAATTGGTTGAGGTGTATCGCGGGCAGCGCCGCTCGCAGCGCGTTCAAGGACGCAGGAGCCAACATGCCCCACACTTCCAGATATTGGAGAGACACCATGCAGCTTAGTTTCCTGATGATAGAGATGGGTAAATTAATAATAGGCTAGTTGCCTAAAAAAATTTTTTAGTCCGTAATGTTTAATATCAAAAAATATTGGACACGTATAATTTTATTTGTCAATCTAACAAATAATTACATAGTTATGAAGTTGCGCACGACGTCACAACGTGCGGCATTTTTAAGCAAGCGTTGACGTCACGGGCCTCTTCTTATGAACTTTGGGGCGCTTTATCTCTTTAAATTTTCATTAGTTTGAAAAAGTGAAAAATACGAGTAGAGTATTTTTTGATAAGTTAACTGACGGACTAATTAAAACTCTTGCTTTTTGACCCAGGCAACATCCCCATTGTATAATTTAGAAATTTGTGTCTAATGTTATGAGACCCGGGACAGTGTGATAGGTCCAGTTCTAGGAGTGGAGACTAGATTGACTTGATGTGGAGACGAAAGTCAAAATTTCTTTATTTGTATAGACTATTAAATAGTGCTTACAAATCGTCAAATATTTCGCTCTTAAGGAGCCTCTACATGTCTCATAATCTTTTTACCCTACCAGTATAAAATATGTCCTGCTGTGGAGATTAGACCTGTAGGCACTAGATGACCTGTTGTGGAGACTATGACCTGCAATGGAGATATTAGAAGACCTTCTGTGGTGACTATATTACCTGCTATGACTCATGTGAGCCACTCTAATGACTGGAGGACCTGCTGTAAACACTCTGATGACGTGCTGTAGTGACTATATGACCTGCTGTCACTCATGTGAGCCACTCTAGTGACTATATGACCTGCCGTCACTCATGTGAGCCACTCTAGTGACTGGATAACTTGTTGTGGGGACTATAATATGACCTGCAGTGACTCATGTGAGCCACTAGTGACTGTATAACCTGCTGTAGAGACTCGGATGGCCTGCTGAGGAGACTATTGATCTGCTGTGACTCATGTGAGTCACTCTAGTGACTGGATAACCTGCTGTGGGGACTAGATAACCTGCTGAAGGGACCATATGACCTGTTGTGACACATGTGAACCACTCTATTACTGGATGACCTCCTGAGAGAACTATATGACCTGCTGTAGTGACTATTTGACCTGCTGTGGGGACTAGATGACCTGCTGGGACTCATATGAGCCACTCTAGTTACTGGATGACCTCCTGAGAGAACTATATGTCCTGCTGTAGTGACTATTTGACCTGCTGTGGGGACTAGATGACGTCTTGGGACTCGTGTGAGCCACTCTAGTGACTGGATAACCTGCTATAAGGACTATATGACCTGCTGTGAGTGACTTGCTAGTAATGACTCACGTGAGCACTCTCGGTGGTAGCAGGTAGCAGCGGCTTAACGCTAGATGTTCCAAGCGGGTGAGCGTCTGTACAGCGCGGACTCCCGGCTCTGACACCCGGGAGCAGTCTGATAGGGCCAGCTCTAGTGGCTGAAGAACTGCTGTAGTGACTACATGACCTGCTATGAGGATTATAATTATGACCTACTGTAGAAACTAGATGACCTGCTGTGACTCGTGTGAACCACTTTAGTGACTGGATGACCTTAGGGACTATATGACCTGCTGTAGTGACTATATGACCTGTTGTGGGGACTATTGACCTACTGTAGGGACTATATGACCTGCTGTAGTGACTATATGACCTGCTGTAGTGACTATATGACCTGCTGTAGTGACTATATGACCAGTTGGTGACACTATATGACCTGCTGTGACTCATGTGAGCCTCACTAGTGACCGGATAACCTTCTGTAGGGTATATTAAGTAATATGACATGCTCTAGTGACTAGATAACCTGCTGTGGACACCTGGATGACCTGCTGTTGACACTATATGACCTTCTATGACTCATGTGAGCCACTCTAGTGACTGGATGAATTACTGTAGACACCTGGATGACCTGTGGACACTATATGTCCTGCTGTGACTCATGTGAGCCACTCTAGTGACTGGATGACCTGCTGTAGTGACTATATGACCTGCTAGGACTTACGTTAACACTCTGGGCGGCAGCAGGTAGCAGCGGCTTAACGCTAGATGTTCCAAACGGGTGAGCGTTTGTACAGCGCGGACTCCCGGCTCTGACACCCGGGAGCAGTCTGATAGGTCTAGTTCAAGCAGGCGAGGGCAGCGCTCCACTAGCTTGATTACCACTGGAAGAGAATTCAATTACCGTTTTTAACAAAGTTACGGTTTAAGAACTTCATTTCTCATAAGAATTAACAATAATTCACTTCCTGAGAAACATTTCAATTTAAATTATTTAAACATAATGAGTGTACAACTAATTACAAACAAAATCAAGGCAACTATCAACATTTTAACAAAAATAAAAATAATGTGACGGTACACAACAAAAAACTTCGAGCCAAAGCATAACGAGTCGCCACACGCCAGTCAACCACGGATGTAATGCGCACTGAGCGAACTTTGTAAATTGGATGCGGCATATTAAATGGATTGGAAAAATAAATGGTTGTATGCAATAAATGTAATTTTAATTGTGTATAGAGAATTTGACGTATTTGTATTAGATTAATTAATAAAATTTAATTGTTATAGATTTTAATTTATTGTTAATAGTATATAATTAAAAATACAGATGTCTAATTTATTGTTATCTCATTTAGTACGTATATTTTTAATATTTTTTTAAAGGAAAACAAAGATTAGGCGTCTTTCACTAAAAAATCAAAAATATTTATTCACTTTAGACCACAAGTGGCACTTATGAAACTTAAAACTTAAACCACCACTAAGAACCACAGGTATTAGGGATAATCAACCGTTAACACGTTCCGACGCGGTACTCCAGTCTACTATGACACTAACAATCTTCATACAAATATTATTTTGCAACAACAAGTCTGCTCTCTATGAAACTCTAATGTAAAATCGACGGTTGTTGCCGTAGTGATTTTTAGATTGATTTTTGTGAAAACGGCGAGACCCGTACTGCCATAATATGAATTCCACTTTTATTGTATAATATGACTTTTTTTTTTGTTTTTTTTTTTTAATATCTTTGGACAATCTCACACAGCGCCATCTAGCCCCAAAGTAAGCAATTAATATGCTTGTGTTATGGGTGCTATTGCTATGCCGTTACCGCGGCGGAACGTGTTAAGGTCCATAGCACACTTATCAACCCGGAAACGGATGAAGATCGAGGCGAGGCGTTTACGTTACGGTGCGGATAAGTGTGCGTTAGGCCCAGAACAGATGGTGAAACGCAACTGCAACGAAACTGCAACTTTCTGATGATTCTTATGAATGAAACTGAAACTGAAAGCTTCAAACTGGTCGCGACATGTGTNTGGTTTTACAAAGGTAATACGATAGAGAATAATACAAAACAATAAAAACTACCTGTTATAGGGGCATTTTTTGGAGAAATTTATCAAATAACCAAAAAAACACGAATTTTTAAGCAGATTTTTTTCAAAAAGTATCATTTTTTATTATTTGTTGAAATTTTTTGTGTATTGTATGTATTTTTTTAGTATTGCCTGTTATTTAGCATTATTACTATTTTTATTTTATCAGGATATACCGCTTAGTTTAAAAGTTATTACGTTTTCTTTACAATAAGTAATTGGAAGAAAAAAAATTCCATAAAAAATTAAAAAAAAATCTCAAAAAAAAATTGACAACTTTTTTGTCGATAAAAATAGGTCTAGTTTCATCTATTTTCATATGTACACTTTAACGTGACTCACACTGTATATAAAAGAAAGTCGTGTTAGTTACTCCACTTATAACTCAAGAACGGCTGAACCGATTTTGCTGAAAATTGTCAGGGAGGTAGTTTAGAGCCAGGAGAAGGACATAGGATACTTTTTATCCCGTTCGAAATTAAAAAAAAGTCTGCTTATTTATTGCCATTAAGGCGGAACAAAGTTCGCCGGGTCAGCTAGTTCTGTAATATAACTCACTTTCATTGGTCATAATTCTAGAGCCGCCCACGTTAAGTCGCTGCAGCTTCGGCGGCAGCATCGTGACTAAAATCTCCAGCGTCTCTTCGCTGAGGTTACACCACGATATGTTCAGGGATTGGAGGCTGGAAAGAAAAAGAAATAATATTATTTTCTGCAAATAGGCTTTTATAAAGCGCTTTTACACGTCCCAGTAGTATTACTTTAAGCCTTATCTAACTTATGGTGATGCAAATGAATATCTACTTTAACCAAACCACTGCTTCGGGACGATAAATGTGCCAGTGCTGAGATAAAATTAGATTCTTACAAAGAGAAAGATTTGATTGTTTGTAATGAATAGACTCCAAAATACTGGACCGATTAAAAAATATTTCACTTCTTTCACCATTAGAATTTGCAACTGTCCACATAGCATGCCGTGGCAGCCTATAATTAAGATAACACTTAGTTCTAAGCACTTTTAGTTATAGTAATTCCATGTATGCGTGTTTGTCTTGTTGGTTGTCCTAATAAATAAAATAAATAAATAAAATAGAATACTATATTTTATTACATAATGCGGTTCGAAGGTTCGATCCTCAATCACTATACTATTGTGGTGAACACACTCACTCGTAAGGACATAATTTAAGTATCTTAAGGTTCAGCCAAATCAACGCGTGCAACTTGCGTGCGCGATGGCGATCTGATGTCGTGTATGAATTTGTAGCAATAAGTTCACATCAACGCGTCCGTACGCGTTCGTTTGGCTGAATTTCATTCAATCATCTACATTTACCTTTTGACATTGTAAATTTATTAAACTGAAATATTAATACATTAATTTGATTTGTGACATTGTATGTTAAATAATAATCTGACTGATAAAATATTTGTACGTCTGCTTGTAGGCTGAATACATGGCAATCATATTAGCTACTAGCGGCCGCCCGCGACTTCGTACGCGTGAATCCCGTTTTACCCCCTTCATCTATCTATCTTACGCGGTTTAGATTTTTTCATACAAATGTTTTTTCCCGCTAACTCCCGTTCCCGTGGGAATTTTGCAATATCCTGTTGTAACTAAGTTTTAAGTTTACTAAGGTACCTGCATGCCAAATTTCAAGCGTCTAACTTAAGCGGTTTACATTTTTCATACAAAAGGATTTTCCCGCTAATTCCTGTTCCCGTGGGAATTCCTAAGTATCCTATAACCTGCCCAGGAGTATGAAGAATAATTGTAGCAAGTTTCGTTAAAATCCGTCGAGGAACATACAAACAGACGGACAGACAGACAGACAGACAGACAAAAATTTTACTGATTGCATTTTTGGCATCAGTATCGATCACTAATCACCCCCTGATAGTTATTTTGAAAATATATTTCATGTACAGAATTGACCTCTCTACAGATTTATTATAAGTATAGATAAGATCTGCTTTGTAAAACGAGCATGTAATTATGTATTCTAGCAAATAAATTATTGAATTTGAATTTTCTGAAGCTTTACTTACCCAGGACATCCTGTTAAAATTGCAGTTAATCCGTCTTCTAAGATCCCTTGCGCCATCGTCACGTTTAATGTTTCTAAATTGCTACATTTACCTGGAACAACAAAAATATTTTTAATGCTGTTGAAACATTGTTAAACAAATAAATAAAATAATATGGGATGCAAACATACTTTGGCTTGCCAGAGAGTTCTAAACACTGAGCTACCGAGATTCGTCATCATCATTTCAGCCCCAGGACGTCCACTGCTGAACATAGGCCTCCCCCAATGACTTCCACATCGCACGGTTGGTAGCGGCCTGCATCCAGCGCCTTCCTGCTACCTTTATGGGTAGCATTTAAGAAATGAAGAGACGGTCGAGACTGGTGATATTCTATGGTAGTGATTATGATTGATGGTGATGATTTACCAAGTAGCTGGCTGGCTGGTTCACTCGTCATGTCTGTGAACAGGCGCTGCTTTCGGGGACTGGTCAATCCAAGTTATTCCAATTTATGTATGCGAGTCATTTCTACTAGTATTTAAGTGTGTAATCTGTAAGTCTAGATATTAGCACGTCACTACCTTGTTTAATATACCACGCAATTTTGTATACCCATTCTTATAAGATACACTATACAAGAATGCATGGTAAATTCAGTGAACTGCTCCTGAATCGAATTAAAATATTTCTATTTATTTATATTAACCGGCAGACAGTGGTGACTGAGTTTGATGCGGCGCTTCTTCTCAGCACTTGCCAAATGTTGGTCTCGAAGCGCTGGTAGGGTAAAAAGATTATGAGACATGTAGAGGCTCCTTAAGAGCAAAATGACGATTTGTAAGAACTATTTATTAGTCTAAACAAATAAAGAAATTTTGACTTTGACTTTGAGCTCACAACTCCTACCTTTTGACTGTATCACTGCCAACTCACTAGGTGGACCGACTAGCTAGTCTTCGCTTGCACGATCTGTCTTTCTATCTGGTGATGATAATGAAAATGATGATTTGATTTCGCTTCTATCTTTCTCTCTGGTTTGATCTACAGTTATGATGATGAAAATGGTGATGACTTACCAATAAGCTCATACATAAGTCTGTCCTACCTAAAACTGTACTTTAATCTTAAATTCTGAAATTCTGAAGTCTGAATCTAAAGTGATGATGATGATGATGACTATAATCAAGTCTAGTCTAATCTGTTACCGACGTTCTAGTATAGAACGTGCGTCAAGGGACTAGAATCTAGCTTATTATTCTATGGTGAAACTTGGATGATGATGATGAGTATGGTGATGACTATAATCAACTCTAGTCTAATCTGTCAACGACTTTCTAGAGTCTAAAACTAGACCCTAGACGCTTATTAAGTCTATGTTGGAACTTGGATGATGATGATGATGATGACTTACCAATTAACTCAATGGCTCGCAATTGTTAACGGCGCTCTAGAGACAATAAGGGACTAATGCTGGAAAATATAGTGATGATTGGTGATGATGATGGTAATGACTTACCAATAAGCTCATAAGTCCTGCCTTTTGATTGTGTCACTATCAACAGCAGCGAATATTAGTCAAATTCTGTCAGTGATGATGATGATGATGACGACTTATCGATGAGTTTACAAGCCCTACCTTTTGACAGTATCATTGTCAACAATGCTTGACGCTTTTTAAGTCTATGTTGGAACTTGGATGATGATGATGGTGATGACTATAATCAACTTTGGTCTTATCTGTTAACGTCATTCTAGACCCTTGATGCTTATAAAGTCTATGTTAGAACTTGATGATGATGACTTAACGATAAGTAAACACGCTAGCACAGAATAATAATAAGTACTACGTACAGAAGTTTTACTTCGCGAAGGTATTTAAAAAATGTATGCTCAATGTCATTAACAATATGGTGTAATTTAGCCTGTCTCAAGAGTCAAGCACCAATTTGTTGACAAACGTCAGTGATCGGCACTGCGCCGAAGCCATAGGGCCGACTTCGGTAAAATGATGTGACGTGAGGTGCCAAACTGCGGAAAATGGCGGATGATGATGATGATGACTCACCGATAAGAACACACGTGCTAGTCTCCACCTGCACGCTCTCCAAGCTAAGTTTCTTCAGTCCCGTGCAGCGAGCCAAGAGACAATCTAGAGTTTTGAGGTCTATGGTGCTTATGCTCAGGTCTAAGTATTGCTAAAGCCCGTAGAATTTCGTCCAATGACCCCAAGCTACCCATCCTTATCGCTCGCGCGTAATTATGTTGCTGTCGCGCTCGCACATTCACTGCGGGCGCCCGTCGCACAGTCGCGACAGCAATATAATTACGCGCGAGCGATAAGGATGGGTAGCTTGGGGTCATTGGACAAAATTCTACGTGCTCACAGACGGGGCTTTAGGTATTGCTAGTTTCTTCAAACACGTGCAGCTTCTATAGTGATGATATTGATGATGAGGGTAATGACTTACCGATGAGCTCTTAAGTGTTAGTCTTCACTTGCACACTTGATTTCTCTCTGGCCAAATCTATGGTGATGATGATGGTGATGACTTACCGATGAGCTCTAATCCTACTTTTTGACTGTGTCACTGTCAACAGCAGTCGATGCTAGTCAAATCTCCAGTGATGATTACGATGATAAGGGTGATGACTTACTTAGCTCATAAGTCCGTCCGTTATCTTAAATTCTGAAGTCTGTATCTAAAGTGATGATGATGATGATGACTATAATCAACTTTGGCCTTATCTGTTAACGACATTCTAGACCCTTGACGCTTATAAGGTCTATGGTGGAACTTGGATGATGATGATGATGATGGTGATGACTTACCGATAAGAACACACGTGCTAGTCTCCACCTGCACGCTCTCCAAGCTAAGTTTCTTCAGTCCCGTGCAGCGAGCCAATAGACAATCCAGAGTTTTGAGGTCTATGGTGCTCATGCTGAGGTCTAAGTATTGGATTCTACATGACGAAGGTGGTGTGGTTGGATGCCATTCTCCTATCTGAAATCAAATTTAAGTAATTTTATTTTCAGAATAAATATCACGATAATTTTCAATATCAATTTTGACCCCATTCTATAAGCATATTTTTTATAACAGTTCCGGTAGTAAAAACTCAATTTTAAATCAATTATTAGAGTAGGCGCACACCGTTGATTTTTAGTTGGCCGATAGTTGTGCCCGATTTTAATTTGTATGAAGAATCGGCCAAATCGAATCGGCGTAGTGTGCGCACTCCCATACATGCCCATACTGATCAACTGCCCGACTAAACTATCGGCCGACGAATAATCAACGGTGTGCGCCTACTCTTAAGGTAATTGGTTGATTTGTAATTGATAAAAAGTTTGTCAATTGGCAAAATAGTGACGTAGCAAACACAGCTATTATGGTTCATTGTTATAAGCCCGTGTTCACCATCAATCCCTAATTTTTAAGTGACCCTTTTGAAAACAAAATTCAGGTGATAGGGGTCACTTAAAAATTATAGATTGATGGTGAAAACGGACATAATACCTTATTTATCAACACTCACCTCTGAACTAGCGAGCCTTACTATGACTGGTTTTCGGTCTAGAATTTTGCCTAGCGCGTCCTTATTAAGTGTTTTGTTGCCTAGATCTAGCCTTTGCCACAGGGTCTCGTCGCACGCCACTCTATGCCACCTGGAAGTAAATAATATTTCATAGTTATTACTTATTAGCTGACCCGGCGAACTCTGTTCCGCCTTAAAGGCAATAAATAAGCAAATCTTTCCTTGTTTGCTCACTGTTTAGACCTACCCTGGACTACGACAAACATTTTAACACCAAAATCAGCTCAATCGGCCCAGCCGTTCTCGAGTTTTAATCAGACTAACAAACATCAAATTCATTTTTATTTATATAGATTAGGATTTTATCTTATTAATATCATCATCAGGACATAACATAGGTCCTCTTAATTGATGTTTATTGTCCGTGGTGCATATCTATTCATAAGGTTACTAAACTTATACATTTGTTTGTCACCTGTCATCCGCTTGGCAATGGAGGGAAGTCGACCCTTAACTTCGAACTCCTATGTTCTTCTGATTAATTTCGTTCCGGTCCAATGACAATTTAACTTTCCCCCGGGACAAACTTGGCCTTCACTGGTTGGGTGACGGTCAAACTGTAGATCCTGGCTACACAGGAGTTGCAGGTGGGAACGAGAGGTGGGAATAGTCAAAAATTTTACCTTTTGCAAACCAGCATACAATGAGCCAAGGTTCTCTTCGGTAGCCATCTAAACACGCTGAGGATCATTTCGTCGGACAGTACGTTGAAGGTGTCTTCGCCAGACGGCTCGCACTTGGTTCTTCTGTTGATTATGAGCTCTTCTTCTTGGCCAAGAGCTGGAAATGAGGGTAGATTTTAGAGAAAGCTGATTTTTTTTCTAATCTATTTTAAAGTTAGGTATAATGTCGGGCATAGATTGGGCAGTACAGTAGAATCTTGATAACTCGAATGTCAAGGGAAACCAAAAAAAATTCGAGATAGCAAGTTTTCGACTTAACAAGAATTTCGAGATATGAAGAGTTAACTCATCAAATTTCGACATAAAAAGCTGAGCCAAGTAACCAAAAGTGACCAAAAATGAAGAAACATAACATCTGTGTTTCTTAGACATTAGAAAGTTTATTGAATGTATTCATTCCTTGCACGTGTGCAAAACAAAAACAATAGATAAGAGGCCCCGAGCCCCGAACATTCCTTTTTGATTTTATTGCCACGAGTTTTGAGCTCCGGGAATCCCGAGTAAGAAATCATTATATTTTATGAACTTCGACTTACTGAGGTAGGTATTTGCAGTTCGAGTTACTGAGTATTGAAATGTACGAGTAATGCCTCACAAGGTTCGAGTTATCAAGATTCTACTGTATTTGAAATTGAAAAAGCTAGTAATACAAGTTAGTTAGTATAGAAGTACTAGCGGCCGCCTGCGACTTCGTAAAATCCGTTCTTAGCAGATGTCTTAACACCCTATAAAGAACTTTCCTACCAATTTCAAGTTTGTAGATGTTCCTGAGATTTCAAGATTCTTCTTCTTTTCGTGTCGACAACAAACCTACGCTCGCACACTCACTGCGGGCGCGCGTCGCACAGTCGCGACAGCAATATAATTACGCGCGAGCGATAAGGATGGGTAGCTTGGGGTCATTGGACAAAATTCTACGCGCTCACAGACCGGGCTTTATACGTATACATCATATACTCACGTGTATAGAAGCTGTGTTTCCTGTCCACACAGCTGAACTCTTGTGGCGCGCTGGTGACTTGCGCTAAAGGCGTTTCCTCGTCAATCAGGTATTCCTCTAGAAGTGTAGTCTCTAGGACTTCTGTTGGTTGGAGGGGACGAGCTGTGGACAATGGACAAAGTACTTTGAGTTGTTTTGAAAGAATCAAATCAAATATTATTGTTGCATAATGTAGGTACTATCGGCAACAGTGTTAACTGCCCATTGCAGGTCATGTCGTCTCGTTCTATCGCAAAGAATCACCATTTGATAAGAGCGAGAGCAAAAACGGAAATGGATAGTTAACACTGTGGCCGTGTAGGCATACAGGTCACTCAATAAAATATTGTTCAGCTACATCATACCATATCGGCATGCAACAGAATAATTTTTTCATGATTCAAAAAATTATACTAAGCAATTAATTAACAAGAACGAATGAAGAACGCGATAAGTTTATTTAGCCAAATAGTTCATGACACCCATAGTGGTCAATAAGTTCGCTTGTTACAATTGGAATAAGGTTGTGTCGTCAACTTTTTGATCACGAGATCTAGCGCTTATAACTGAGTCAGTGTCTGAGATGCGGAGAAGCACGGGGATGTTTTGTGACGTCAAACGTCAGCGAGACTTCAGATCTCCTTTTTCACGTCAAACTTATGACCTGCCCCCCTAAGTCAGTACCTGGGTATGAGTTGCCCGTCCTAGGTCAGAGGCTGGGTATGACTTGCCCCCCTCCCCTCCTAAAGTATGACTTGTCTCACCTTTCTCGGCGCTCCTAGGGCTCTTAGCCTTGGAAGGCCCAGGGCTAGGGCTGCATACCTTCCCGCGAGGACTCTTGGGGACGGACTTGCACGGTGACGTCACCAACACGTTCGGTTTTACTTGTATTAAGTCGCCTAAAAGCGGTACAGTCGCTTTGAGGGAGCTAAGTCCCCCCTTAGGCCAGAAGCTGGGTATGACCCTCCCTCCTCCAGACCAGAAACTGGGTATGACCTGCCCCCCCTATATGCCGGACCCTGAGTATGACTTGCACCCCCTAGGCCAGTAGCTGAGTCTGACTTGCCATCCCCCCCCCTCCTAGGTCAGAACCTGGGTATGATGAATCCCCCCAGGTCAGAAGCTAGGTATGACTTGCCCCCCCCCCCCAGGTCAGAACCTGGGTGACATGCAATCTCCCCTTAGGTCAAAAACTGGGAATGACTTGCCCCCCCCCAGGCCAGAAGCTGAATATATACAAATGAGTAGGTCATCTTCATAGAAACGCACCGAATACGTATGCGGCGCGCACGCACACACTGACAAAATTCAGCGCACCTCCTCGCTAAGCCACGATAAATTTTTATTTTTATAGTATTTACTCTGGTGTTACTGGGTATGATTTGCCTCACCTTTCTCTGCGCTCCTCGGGCTCTTGGCCTTGGAAGGGCCAGGGCTGGGGCTGCACACCTTCCCGCGAGGACTCTTGGGGACGGACTTGCACGGTGACGTCACCAACACGTTCTCTATGTCCCGTGGCGACATCTATCGACGCGCTTCTACAGCTGGGTCTGACTTGCTGTTTATGATTTTAATCCCCCTACCCCCTAGGTCAGAACCTGGGTATGACTTCCCTCCTCCCCTAGGTCAGAACCTGGGTATGACTTCCCTCCTCCCCTAGGTCAGAACCTGGGTATGACTTCCCTCCTCCCCTAGGTCAGAACCTGGGTATGACCTGCCCCTCCTAAGTCAGAACCTGGGTATGACATGCTCCCTCTAGGCCAGAATCTGGGTATGACCCCCCTTCTCCAGACCAGAAGCTGGGTATGACCTGCCCCCCCCAGGTCAGAAGCTGAGTCTGACTTGCCCCCCTCCCCCCAGGTCAGAAGTACATGGGTAAGACTGTCCCCCCCTAGGCTAGAAGCGAAGTATGACTTGCCCCCCCCCCCTCCCTCCTAATGTATGATTTGTCTCACCGTTGCCCCCCAAGGCTTAAAGCTGGGTATGACCTGTCCCCCCTCGGTCAGAACCTGGGTATGACTTGCCCTCTCTAGGCCAGAAGCTATGTATGACCTGCGACCTGCCCCCTAGTTGCCCCCCTCCCCCCTAATATATGACTTGTCTCACCTTTCTCCGTACTCCTAGGGCTCTTGGCCTTGGAAGGCCCAGGACTGGGGCTGCACACCTTCCCGCGAGGACTCTTGGGGACGGACTTGCACGGTGACGTCACCAACACGTTCGGATTCACGTTTTCTATGTCCCGTTTCCTCTTCAATGTTTTGTGTGAGTGCTGGGGACAATAACATATGTAATAAGATTTTAAAAAACTGTCTTCTAGGTTGTCTGGAAGAAAACGCTTTATAATTCACTAGCTTTCCGCCCGCGGCTTCGCCCGCGTGGAATTTTGTCTGTCACAGAAAAACTTTATCGCGCGCGTCCCTGTTTCAAAAACCGGGATAAAAACTATCCTATGTTCTTTCCCGGGACTCAAACTATCTCTATGCCAAATTTCATCAAAATCGGTTGCGAGGTTTAAGCGGGAAAGCGTAACAGACAGACAGACAGACAGACAGACAGAGTTACTTTCGCATTTATAATATTAGTTGGGATTTATTCATTGCATTATTTGATGTTAAATTGTAGGTGTCTTAGAGCGAAACATGTACCCTGCTTGGGCATTGCAATGTCAATAGTAGGCATTAGTTACATAATATTACAATCATGCAGTACAGTTTTAAAGATCCAAACATTGCGAATTATAGCGATAAGCGCTCCTGCACACGACGCCGCCGCTTCGCACTGTTTATACGCGCCGAGTAAAGCCCGCTGCCGCGCCATAGATGACCCACGCTGAACTGTCCCACCAAACTCAATGACAGGGGGCGCTACCATCGTTCAACTATATGGTTTCCAACATGGCAAAAATCGGAACCAGCGATCCGGTATTGAGGGTGGCGCCCCACTGTCAATGTCATGCATAGGACAATTCAGTATTTTGGAACTATATGAACAGTGTAGGGGCGTAGCGGCGGCGCGGTGGCGGCGTCGTGTGCAGGAGCGCTAAGACTACCTAAATTGTAATTTTGTATAATTATTTATCTTCCTTATCTTGTCTTGTATGGGGTGGCGCGGGGTGCGGGGAGTGTGATCCGACCAATCCGAGCGTAATTGTTGGCATTGGCAGCGTTGCAATTCGATTGTTGTCCGTGAGTACGCGCGCACACTACAATGATGACGTTCGGATCAAACTCCCCGCACCCTGCGCAATCGAGAGCAAAAATTGGTGGAGCGCGTCCGAGTGGATGGAACGAACTCATACTCTATGCCCGTAATATACATATTATTAAATGCCGAAAGGCATTAAGTCCGCCTTATATACACCGTTCTATGTGCATGTAAGTTTAAAATAAAATAAATAATACTTACACCACTGTTGAGTACATCGCACAGGCCCTCAAGCTCATCTGGTTCTAGTAAGCTGACCCCCATTTCTTGGAGAACCTGGAAATGGAGTAATAATGTTTATTTGGATTTCGGCATTTTAAAAAGACGAATATTAAACTTATTTATTTAATAGTGTGAAAAAATGTACTGCCTCAGGTGAAAATTGAACCAACTTTTCTTTCATGACAGAATAAACGAATTACAAAATTAAAACTGACTCCAAAACTTTTCTGTATTTTATTGAGTCAAATACTACTATTTTTATTTTCAGAGTAGTACCAGCCAAAATTAAGAAACTCCCAAAATCACAATTATCAAGAATAGCAAACTTCCTTTTTACCTGACTGAATTGAAATTAAATAGTTTATCAATAGGCTCTTTCCAAGAGCACTTATACACATCGCAAATATAGCTTGCCCTACCACCACTTCGGGACAACATATGGGCTGGTGCTGAGAAGAAGTGGGGGACCTTGGTCAGCCTCTTTTTCATTGTTCCTACTATTCTCTGTTTCTTTGTGTTTTAAGTTGGTTAAAAATGCATTGACACCAATACAGTACAGAGTGCAATGGCCATACAAAATTGCTGGTATGTGCAAATTAATATTAAAATCATGACTGATGTAATAATTTGCTTGCTAATTCAAGTTTTTTAACCAGGTCATGTTAGGAATTTTGTACACCACACAAAAAAGAAAGAAATATACAAAAGAAACGGCACAGTTTAGGAGATTAAAATGCACATGCAATCTTCTGTTCTACTAATGCATTAATCTTAAAACTGTAGCATCTTAAGAATTTGAAAATTTACATGCTAGTTGTGTAGAACTTCAATATAAATGCTGTGACATCTTATCTAGGTCTTTGGAACAAAAATATATAGTTTGACAAGGATTTTAAGGACAAATAGACTACTTTTCCGTGAACATATAACTTGAAAGGGGTGAAATAGGGGAGGCGTTTCTTGGAACTATGTTTGTATAAAATCCATCATATCTCTTGCTAAGTAGGTTTAATATGAAAATTCACATGAAATCATCTGGCACATACTTTTACACTTGTACCTGTGTACCTTTTGCACCTGTAACATCATCATAATCATTTCAGCTATAGGATGAGGAACATAGGCCTCCTCCAATGATCATCTTATGTATTTTGAAAAGTTACAGGTGCTATTGTAAAATAAAATTGTGATTCTGTTTATCTTTGCACATGCTTTTGGTAAGAAATAAGTGTTTAGAATTGAAAATCAAAGACTAGGGCAGACAGAAATACGTGGGCGAAGTCGCGGGCAGAAACTAATGCATATTAAACAAGAAGTCATATCAGGATGACAGTAACACCAGACTAGAAAGAAAATCTTGAAAACATCAGCTAGGTGTTTTGTAGCTGATATTGTGAACTTCGTTGGGAATTATTGAACATAAATTTGACAATGTATAGTGAGGATATGTGTAATAAAGCTTACGTAAAGAAGTAGTTCAAAACCATACGGTTTAATGCCATACCTTCGGAGAAATTCCTTGCATTTCCACACTGTAACTGACGTACGTACGACTTTCTATGCTTATTTTTAGAAAATACACGATTATCTCAGCGTTATTTGGTTGCTAGATCGTTACGAGACTCAATACGTAATGTAACACAGTAATTTAGTAGAATTCCGCCAAATTATAACTAAATAATCACGTCATAACCAAAAAATAAGCGGTAAAAAAGAGCGGGAAGAAATGTCATGTTACCTCCTGATCCGTCCTCCGATCCATGAGACTCCAGCTTTTTCGCGACGAGTTGTCCAATCTTGGACGTTTTCTGCAATTTTCACCACATTTTAATTAAAATTATGCCATTTAATGCGGAAAAACTGAAAATTACGACGCTGATCTATTGCCGCCTTTTTAACTTTGGCGCCCGAAATCAGCTGTCAACCGAACAGGTGTTTTCGCCATCAAATTTCTGACATAAATATTGGACAAACCTGGGACTATCGCACTCCTCGAAGTGGCTGGGTGATGGGAAATCGTCATCAGGTTTTTGTGCACTCATTGCGATAAATAAATTAATATTTTGTCCACACGAAATTTACTCCGCAGCAACCAATGTCATTACCGCACAAACGTCAAAAATGATAATGACATGCCGTAATCAGGGTTGCCAGATATCAGCTAACTCAAATCGCCTAATTTTTCCTACCGAGTAGCCTAAATCGCCTAATATATTTTTTTTCCTGAAGTAGCCTAATTCGCCTAACATTTTGAGGTAAGTATACAAAAATACATGTCAAATCGACACATTAATGACAAACAGCTGTTTATCTCTTTCTAACTTACCCATGGTGACGTATGAAAAAAGAGACAAGTAGATAATGTTTGGTCAGCCTACTCATTATGGCAACATTTTTATGTGACGTCACTAACTACCTGACTCGTGCCGAGTACACACAAGATTTAAGAAATCAACGTGGCTGCAATATAGACAATCAGCTGACAACTACACATACGCACACACACACACGCACACACACACACACAAACACACAATTTCAATTGAAATTGAAAGCCAACTCAATTATTAGGAATATCGAATTGTTCTAGAGAGGTTTTATGAATTATTGGATAACTAGCTTTTGCCCGCGGCTTCACCCGCGTGAAATTCAGTTTGTCACAGATCGTCATAAATTATAGCCTATATGTTATTCTGGGTTATAAACAATAATACTGTAAAGTTACATCAAAATCCGTTCAGTAGTTTTTGCGTGAAAGAGCAACAAACATCCAGACATCCAAACTTTCGCATTTATAATATTAGTTGGATAATAGTGTCAACCACTCAACTAAATATTACTTCCTTCTCGTGTATTTGTTTGCAAACTATTACTATAATAACGTACTAAATATAATATAAATAAGTATACGTGGATATCTGTTATTGTCTTTCTTGAATAGTATTAAGAGTAACATTTTTCTATCATAACGAAATAAACGCAACACATAACAAGACAACCCTAGCGTCCCTAGCGCGACGGCCGAGCGTGCGAGCGAGACAGGTATGCAAAGCGAGGTACATACATGAGTTTACCTTCTGTTATATTTTGTGACTTCGAACAGACAGTTCTACGAACTTTTAGATAGGGTCAATAACCTTTCGTACTTTTTGGTGCGTGCATTGACCGGTCATAGACAAAGCTTTAATAATTTACTTCTGGCAACAAAAATATTTACTTTTTAATACCGTCGACCAATCAAATCACGTCTTTACTTCGCGTTGTTGTGCCATTGGTCAATTAAAACGGATGTTGTCCAACCGTGGCAGTCGTAAACAAATGAACAAAGTTAATTTTGCTTTGAAATCAGTCCATTATAAACCTTATCACAACTGAATACGGTGGTGATGACACAGGTGTGACTGTATTTTAAAAATGTTTTGATGCGATAAGCGCGCCGCTTCCACGTAGCGGATCAAAATCAAAACCAATAACAAAGGCTTATAAAACTTGAAGGAGGCTTGTCGTTTTGCTGCAGAAAATTGCGAAGCAAACGAAAAAGTTAACAAATAAACGTTGAAAAGTGATCCAAATCGAATAAACTAAGTTTTCCGGTGTATTGTGTGTGTGCTCTGCGACGATGGCCGCTCGTAAACTGAATACGATCGAAGATCTAAGCGGTGAGTACAATTTAATATTTATAAACAATGCGTTGAAAACATTGCGTGACCAAGCTCGGTCTACTAGTTTTTATCAAGGATATCGACTTCTCCGTATAGAAATGCGGTTTTGCGCGTATCAAATGATTGTGTACACGTCTAAATTGCGCAGTTTCGCGATATTTCGTTTCGCAATGTTAGCATCTGTCTTTGTTTACATTTTGTTCTACGTTATTTTCTGCAAATAAATTAGCATGAAATGCGTTGGAAAGTCTTGAACTGCTCGAGGTCAGGTTATCTTGAAATCCAATTAAATAATTGCGTCAGTAATTAACTTGCGTACGTTATTTCTCAAAGGATTAGCCGGCCTCTGAGGAAGCGTGCTCTTCTTGTTTTATTTGTATGCGCGCTCGTGCACTTCCGTATTCGGTCGGGTTACACCTGTAGTGCGACCACATCTTCGCACGTTCTGCTCGCCTGGTACTTTTGATATTGATTGGAAGACATTTTGTTTACAAATTGATGTTTGTAAACAAGATAAGATAAACAAAGCACTTGTTCAAGTAATGAATAATCAATTCAGCATGTAAGGGAAATATTTACATGCTAATAATAAATATAAATAACATTATTAACTTGAAGGACAAGGAAAAGTGTGCCTGACTCACTTCCTTTGTGACTCGTGCAAATAATATCATGCTATTTATATTTATAGATAATAATATGTTTTATTGTTAGTTATATCTCTTTTCAGTGTTATTATTTTATAAAATTTATGTCGGTTAGTTTAAGGAAGTTAGTCTATTATTATTAGTTTGTATAATTCTAAAAGTTCCTATTTTAGCTTCGATTTATAAATTCAATTTCGTTTAAATATTGTGTCCCATAATATTATTGTTTTAAAGTAAAATATTAAAAACCTTGCGAGTTACCAATGAAAACTGCTATTTTACTGTACTAACTTGCTTGTGATATTCAGTAAATATTGTGTACATTAATCTTCAATTTAAAAACAAAATCAGTTTATTTATAATCGCAATAAAATACCACAGGCATTCAAATATTATCAAGTTCTATAAAACCTGCCTGCGTACATACCATTGTACTATTGTGATATTGTCGCTTCAAAATTATGTACCAGGAAACCATATTCAAAGAGTTTAAGCGTAATATCGGTCAAGAGATGTACGCATTAAATTCTAAGCCTGTAATACTGGATTTAGATAAGTCGCAGAAAGAATAAGTCGAATTCAATAGGATTAGTATGATAAGATTTCTAGGCCAAAAACCTTCATACTAATATGAATGTACGTAACTCTGTTTGTAAAACTCATTTTAGTTTTGCAAATAAGTTTACTTTTACACGTCCCAGTATTAACCCTACCACTGCTTCGAGACAATAAATGGGCCAGTGCTGAGAAGAAGCAGCGCAAGAAACTCAGTCACTATGTCTTTTCAATTCAATCAAACATCTTTCTACATACATACATATTATGTATAAAGAGGAAAGTTTTGATTGTTTGTTTGTATTGAATAGGCTCTGAAACTAATCGACCGGTTTGAAAAATTCTTTCACCATTTAGAATCCTACATTATTTCTGATGAAAGACGTTAAGAAGTTTGCTGGTCCTTGAATTATTTTTGAATGAATTTGCGTTTGTTTCCATCCTCCAATAAGACGTCCACTGCTGGACAAAGGCCTCCCCCAAGGATTTCCACAAAGACCGGTCCTGCGCCGCTCGCATCCAGGCGCTTCCCGCGACCTTCACCAGATCGTCGGTCCATTGAGTTGTTGAGGGTTACTTGGATGGTATAAACCGAGGTTCAGACTAGCAATAACACTTGCAGAAGCTGTCACCACTGTTTAATCTTGCAGAAGTTGGCTTGCCACAGCTATAAGCCTAGGCGCAGACCACCGATTTTTAGTTGGCCGATAGTCGGGTCGGGCTGTTAATCAGTATGGAGATGTATGAAAGTGTGCACATTACACTGATTTAGTATTCGGCCGATTCTTCATACAAATTAGAATCGGGCCCAACTATCGGCCAACTAAAAATCGGTGGTCTGCGCCTAGGTTAAACCTCGCATAATGATATAAAGTGGGGAAAGACATAGGCTATGTATATTTTACCGCAAAAATATAGCATCTTTTACGGGATACAAGTGCGATAAGGGATTTTAAAATTGATATTTATAATGAATTATGTTTTAGTCAGAAATGAAGTGTTTTCAAAACCGCGGGAACTAAATCATAATAATCTATGACGTCATATAAAACAATAATTCCCTGAACGGTTCCATTTATATTGAAATGAAACGTGTATTGATTATTGATAACAGCAAGGCCGTTGGCATAATAAAAATAGGTACAGTAATGTCATAAAATATATTTAAATCAAAGTTAAGACTGTAACGTTTCTGTAACAATTCTTGCATGTTCGCATTGTCATTTTTACTGTAAAATTGCCCCTATTATAACAATTGAAGGGGTGAGTGGACAAAGGTCTTAACCAACAAAAAGTTTAAATGAGTTATGAGTGTTTGAAAATGTTAATCTGCTCATACCACATCAGTGCCGTAACTAGGGCGGTGCCAGCGGTGCCCAGGCACAGGGCGCAGACCCAAATGACCAGACCAGTATCTAGTTTTGTTACACCTTACACAATCGCTCCGCAGGCATTTTTACTGGTAATTTCTGACATTTTTTATAGGGTAATTGCGCCGGTTTTCCGTCCAGCTCCTGTTTTCGTCCATTTGACCGACTTGCCACAAACAAATACGGAAAATTAGAATACAAACCTAACTTTCCGTGCAAGTTTGGACTTGTTACAATCTATAATATCTAAGTAACAGTTCTGCCTGCATGAAAATGTAATTTGACAAGTAATAACTCCAAAAAAATCTACGGAAGTTGCTGCTGCACACAGGTGAATGGAAAACGTCGTCAAGTTAGAAAAAAAACGTGCCGGTAGGGAACTTTCATGGTATGTTTAATTACTGTTTTAGCTACTTTACGTAATGTTTTTGGCATGTATGTCTAATTATTAGCATAATAAACACTATTTTAAGGGTTTATTAAAGTTTTTGTATAGAAATCTTAGATAATTAAGTGGACTAATACTAGCATAACAATTTTGCAATATTTTGGTTTTCGTCCACGTGGACGGAAACCCTGACACCTAGTTAATATTTTTAATAATCATTTTACTTCAATGGACCTACAAAATACAATGTTTTTTCTTCCAATATGATCTTTATTGCTATTACATTAAACATTTTAGTTTACGTCCACTTTTTAACAGTGATAAACCCATAAAAACCGTTAAAAAGATGTGGACGAAAACAAAAAACAGCTTTAAACGTTGTTGTGTTTTCGTCCATGACGTCATGAGTAAGCACTGGGGTGGACGAAAACCAAAATTAGCTATTCCTGTAGGTTAGTTTTCGTCCATTTGTCCTTCGACCTATTGCAATATTTTCCCAAAGGACAATGACCAA